GGCGTGGTTTCCGGCCTACCGTGACCGAGCACTCGTGATGGGTGGGGGCGGGGAAAGGACCATGACATCCGGGGACCTCGTGCCGGGTCATATGGCGGTCACGTGACGCCGTTCCGAGTGGCGCGCTGTGTGTGAGGCCCCCAGGCAGCCGCGCTCCATGTAGCGCCGGCAGCGGGGCCCGGCCGAGAGGCGCCCTGCCGGGGGCCTCAGAGCAGTCATTGGACAGCGGCCCTGCGGTGGGCGGGGCGCCGAGTCGTCTCGCCCTTCTGATTGGCTTAGTTGCCTGTCAATCCCAGTGTGTCCCAGTTGCCCTGGTAACAGATCCGGCTGTGGGGCTCGCGCCATGGCCCGGCTGGAGCTGTTCTCCCACGCGGGGCTGCGCGTGCGCTACCGCGCCGGGCTCTGCTCGCTGGCGGCGCTGGGGCTGCTGCTGCTGGCGGCGCTCACCTACCTGCCGCCGCTGCTGGTGGCGTATCGGAGCCAGGGTGAGCGGCCCGGGCCTGGCGTGGGGGCGGCCGGAGCCCTCGGACCCCGGCTCGCTCGCGCGGGTCAGACCGAAGGGCCATCGCGCCCCGAGGGCGGGAATCCCCAAGCGATCCCTGCCCAGCCCGGCCTCCGCGAGCCGGTCCAGCTCTTGGGGACCCCGTTCTAGCCTCGCCTTGCAGCGTCCTCTGGCAAGGAGTTCCACAGGTTGACTGTGTGCTGGGCTATCAACAACACTTCCCTTTTATTTTAACCTTGCTGCCTGCTCATGTCATTTGGTGACCCTTAGTTCTTATGTCAAGGAAACCAGTAACGATCGTTTCCTCAGTTATGATTCTATAGACCACTCCCACGTCTCCCTTAGCGTCCTTTTTTCTAAAATGAAAAGTCCCAGCTTTTTAATCTCTCTTCATATGGCACTTGTTCCAAACACTTCATCATTTTGTTGCCCTTTTCTGAACCTTTTCCAATGCCAAGAAATCTTTTTTGAGATAAGGCAACCACCTCTGTATGCAATGTTCAAAATGTGGGCATCCCATGAATTTATAGAGTCAATAAAATATTCTCTATCTTATTCTCTATACCTTGTTTAATGATTCCGAACATTCGGTTTGCTTTTTTGCCTGCTGCTACATGTTGCATGATGTTTTCAGAGAACTATCCAGAATGACTCCAAGATCTCTTTCTTGATTGGTTATACCCAGGGCTCGCCAAGCCACATGCACAGATCACCCGAACCCGGCTCTTCTGGATTGTAATCTACTTGCCACAGGCGAGTAGATTGCATTATTTGTCGAGCCCCGGTTATAACTAAATTAGTCCCCATCATTGTTTATGTATAGTTGGGATTATTTTTTCCAATGTGCATTACTTTGCATTTATCAATATTAATATTCATTTCCTATTTTCTTGTTCAATCACCTAATTTTCTGAGATCCTTTTGAAGCTCTTCGCAGTCTGCTTTGTTCTTAACTATCTTGAGCAGTTGAGTATCATGTGGCAAATTTTGCCACCTCACTGTTTACTCTTTTCTCCAGATCATTTATGGCTATGTTGAATAGGATTGTTCTCAGTCCCTGCTTGGGGGACACTGCTGTTGCTGGCTTCCACATCAGGGAGGGGCCAAACTCTGGCAGTGTTCACTCCTCCTTCAGCATCATTCCCAGCACATATTTTCCTATTATGTCTCTGCTTGCAGGACTTTGGCTGAAGCAAAGTACCTACATGGAGCAGCCCACAATACAGTTTCGATATGAGGTACTTCTGGTGGCTATGACTGGAGCTGAGCCTGGCAGCTTCCTGGCTTGGAGTACATTTCCAACCTTCAATCGCCTCCAGCAAGACCAACTGCGAGTTCCTCTTATCTCAGTAGGTTATGTGCAGTGGGGTGGGACCATAGGAGGGTGCTCTGTTGACTTAATTATCTTAATTATATGTGCCAGTTGGCCCACACACCAACTTGAAATACCTCCAGTGATGGGTTACACTAAGTAAAATGCCCTTATGGGCTGGGAGAGGGGAATATGCAAACCTTGCGAATATATATATGGTACAGTAGATAATTAAAGGGAGACGGGAGGGAGGGAGGTATAGAGGTTAAATAAGCGGGTGAGGTATAAAAAACATTAGCAAGAGAATGGAGAATACAGCTCCATTGTATTGGATAAAGGAAAAATAGATGCTGGAAAAGATCTGAGAAAAAAATGTCACCAAGTATTGTGTAGAAAGTCTTTTGGTTAGCTGTTCGGTAGTGCTTTCAGCTTCTAACCTCTTGGTGGTAGTTCCCAAGTGAAGTATTCTGATTCCAGTGGCAAACTGTTATACCTGTTGTATCATATAGACAAGAGAAGAAGACCAGAATCATGATGGCAAAATGGACCAATTACATTTTAAATTAGAGCTTCCTCTACAATCTACAGAGCAAGTACTTGCTGTCCAGCTCATTCTGACTTTCTCATATCAATTACATGTGAGTAGTTCAGAGTCTGTCAACGTAGATGGCCCCCTCACAATGATATTTGAGTGCCCAGTTCAGCATTCTTGTAACAATAATGTAAGTGACAATAAAAGACCATAATATACATTTTTTAGAAGTCTGCTGTATGTCAAGACTAAGTAAATCCATGTTTGATTTTTTTTACTCCTGGCCAAGCTTTCTGCTGCATATGTCATCAGACTGCTAGAACTCTCCTAATTATAGCTGTGGGGTTTTGGCAGGCACTGAGAAATATACAATTTTGTTAGAAAAGGATGCTGCATTTTTATATTCCCTTAGCTTCTTGCAATACCTAATGATATGTCAGTTCTCTAGGGGTGACAGTAGCCCCTGTTTTAGCAGATATTCTTACAATTATTTTATATGCTCTTAGATTATAGAGCAGGAGCAGTTAAGATATGGCCTGCTGGCTGACTTTGGATCTGCCCTGCACCACCCTCTCTGCTCTCTGCCTGCTTCAGCCCCAGGCCACTCAAAATGGCTGGCTGCTCCCTCCATATGTCTCTAGGCACTGCATGCGCCTTGCAGAGGGGAGGGAAGACTGTGCATGCCCCTGCACTCACTGGTAGGAAACAGAGCAATGTGGTCAGGGAGCAGAGCAAGCAGGAGTCACATTGCTTTACTTCTGTCTCTGTTGTCAGTGAGTAATACGAGAGAGGGCAGACTCCAGTTTCCAGAGCCCTTGTAGTCCCCCAGGATGCATCAGTTGGGGAAAGAGGGTGGGGGGCAGAGTAGGGGCAGGGGAGGCATGGCCTGGGGCAGATGGGGGTTGTCCTGGCTTTTCCCCAGACTGAGGTAGGGTCATGTGGCCAGTGGCTCCCTGTGTCCCACTTCACCAGTCACCCCTGCTTCTGGTCTTAGAATCTATGAAGCCTCATGTCTAAAATTATCTTATCTCTTTTTGGCTCTTAAAATTTAGTGTAAAATAAAATGCATATAGAAATTTTGTAGCAATTTAAGGATGAAAGATTTTTGGAGAGTTTTCTTGTAGATTTAGTTGTATCTACTGTTTTAGTTTCAGTAGATTTAGTTGTATCTACTGTTCACTTTTTCAGAGAATGTCAACATTTGTGATGCAGAGCATGGCTTTTATCCAGTCGTCCTCCCCTATTCCAGGGTCCCAGCTTTATGTGAATGGAGACCTGAAATTGTACCAGAGGCAATCACTTAGCCATTGTGGAGTAGACACCAGATACAATGTGAGGAGAACCTTTCTTGTCCCATTACCCTTTTTGCATGAGTAATGACCAGAATTATCCCTACTCAGAGCACAGACTGCATCCCAGACTAGCTAAACTATGGTGTACTTACTGAGTAACAGGGTGGGAGAAGGTCCTGTGGCTGCCATGCCATGTAGGCTGTGGACTGGGATTATTTATCTTTATAGACAGAAACACTTTGTGCAACAAATTGGGTAAAAGCAACTTTCTGGTGAGGGACATGAATTCTTTATATTGGCATTAAAATACCACATTGTGTAACAGATATCTGTGATCAATGGCACAAGCCCTTTTGCAAGCGACTACGAAATCACTAACATCATTGCAGCATACCAAGATAGAAATGGTAAGTCAGAACTAATGAATTTTAATCCTAGGACGGTTTATATGAAGTTTGAGGAACAGCTAGCCAAAAATTGTAAAAAGGAATAGCAAAATGTTTTTAAGTACATCAAAAGCCTGCTAAACAACCAGTGGGGCCAGTAGACAGTCAAGATGCTAAAGGAGTACTCAAAGATGATAAAGCCATTGTGGAGAAAATAAGTTCTTTGCTTCGGAATCTCCAGCTGACCCGGCATTTCAAAGGAGCAGCGCAAAGCAGGGCCTGGGGTCAGCTGGAGTCCCCAGATGACCCCAGGCTCAGTGCAGCACTGCCCCTTTGAAACACTGTGGCAGGTGGAGTCCCCAGCTGATCCTAAGCTCCGTGTTGAGCTGCCCCTTTGAAATGCTGCCCCAGCTGGAGTCACCAGCTGACCCTGGACTCAGTGCAGCTCTGCCCTTTTGAAATGCCATGAGCAGGGACTCCAGCAGATCCCGGGCTCCCACTGTGCTGCCCCTTTGAAACTCCCTAGTGGCATTTCAAAGGGGCAGTGCCCAGAAACACCTGCAATTAATGTGTTAAAAAAATTAACGCGTTAATTGTGCTCTGCATTAATTGCAGGCGTTAACATGCGTTAATTGACAGCCCTAGTATTTACTTGTTCGCATAACATAAGAACTAGAGGTCATCAAATGAAATTAATAAGTATCAGGTTTAAAACAAAAGGAAGTATTCATGCAGAGCGCAGACAACCTGTGGAACTCCGTGCTAGAGGATGTTTTGAAGGTCAGGACTTTTAATAGGGTTCAAAAAAAGAACTAGATAAATTCATGGAGGTTAGGTCCATCAATACTTATTAGCCAGGATGGGTAGGTATGGTGTCCCTAGTCTCTGTTTGTCAGAAGCTAGAAATGAATTAACAAGAGAGGGATCACTTGATGATTCTCTATTCTGTTCACTCCCTCTGGGGCATCTAGCATTGGCCACTGTTAGAAGACAGGATGCTGGGCTGGATGGACCTTTGGTCTGACCCAGTACGGCTGTTCTTAAGTGTTTACATATAACAATGGTTGATGGCTGTTCCTGAGGATTTATCTTTTGGGTATCAGTTTGAAAGGCCTCTTACGCATCTTCATTCTTTTTTGATTGCAGTAACAACAGTTTTTTGCGGTCCCAATCCTGTGTGGCTGGTAGGGAGAGCTGCAGAAGCACCATTTGTGATTAATGTCACTATCCGTTACCCAATGGAAGTTATTTTATATCCTTTAGTAATTGTGTGAATTTCAATTAGGTGGTAAGATATTTAATGATGTTCTGAACTTAAAATACAGTGCCTTTCCCACTTCACCTGTATGTAATATCAAACATATCAAAGTAGTGAAAATGTTTCTAAACTTTCATTGGTAAATGTGTAGATCCTAAGGTGGAGCTACTTGTGCTCAGAATAGTAAGGCTGTTTTAGAAACTTGTTCAAACTCAGTTATGGCTCCATCTTCCAGTGGTTCTCTTATGAAAAGTTATGTACAATTCCCATAGTCCCATTTTTTTTCCTGGATTTATTTCTAACCTCTTCCTTTTCTAAATATACATACTCACTTCTGTTGAGTTGTGCTGCATTTAATTCTAAGTTTACAAGTTCGGTAATGCTCCTTGACTCTTACTACATATCAGCCAGGTTTCTGGGAAATGATCAAATTTGCTTGGATCCAGTATGTTAGTATCCTGCTTATCTTTCTTTGGGTGTTTGACAGAATAAAAACCTTTGTGTTCCAGAATCAGGTGCTAACCACAATACCAGTGTTGCCAGTTTCCCCAATATCCTCTTATAAACAGCACCAGGCCTGATCAAATGCCTGAAATGACTTCAAAGAGACTCAGATAAGAGGCTGTACTTCATTTTCATTTTCTTTAAATGTGTGTATTTCTGAAGATGGGGAACTTTATAAGTTACATTCTGGATCATGTTCTGTTAATGCTACCGCGGTCTAAGGTTCCAGGATATTTTTATTTCTTTGTATTTAGCAGACATCAGGTTGCTGTGAGAGAACACTGTTTTGAGATTTGTGTTCGGGAGTGGGAACGTGGGGGAGAGATTTTAAAAGAATGGGAAAGAGGCAAAGGCACACTTCCCAAGAGTTTGTGGTTCCACATCCTCTTTCATTGTTCTGGTACCTTAATGTCCCTGTTCCACAATCATGAACAGGCAACAGCCCTGTTGCTTTCTGTGTTGCACCTTTGTTTGGAAGACAAAATGTTATCATATGAATTAGATTTTATTAAATGCCAGATATTTTGAACATGTAACATTAGGTGTCATTTTAATTGAATGATGGACAGACTTAATTTGATGTATTAACATTAATTATCATTTTGACACTTTATTATTTATTTGTATTACCATAGTACCTAGACATGGACCAGAACCCCAGTGTGCTTGGTGCTGTGCAAGCACAGGACAAATTGATTATCCCTAAGCAAAAGTACAATTTCAGGTATGATGATTGATGACAAATGGATACTGAAAACAAGGATGCAGTAAGACAGTACTGGCTAGCATGGTAACAGTGCAGTCTAATTTATGCAATCATTACAGTATTTGTTTGTTGGCATCCTGGCAAATGGGTCTTAAGGAGGGAGTTCAAGCATGCACAAATGAAGTTAAACCATGGAGAAGGTAGGGTTACAATGTAAGAAATGTAAAACCATGGTAATTGGAGATACGGATTTAAACATCAAAATTGATGATGAGCTAGAGTGGGTAGATCAATTTCACAGATCTTGGAAGCATAATAAGCCAAGATGGTCCATGTTCAGAGGAAATAAGAATAAGGATCAGCAAAATGAACATGTCTTCGGTAAACTTAGGAATATTTAGAAACTTACTATCATAGAATACTAGGACTGGAAGGAACCTCGAGAGGTCATCGAGTCCAGTCCCCTGCCCTCATGGCAGGACCCAGTACTGTCTAGATGATCCCTCAGACATTTATCTAACCTACACTTAAATATGTCCAGAGATGGAGATGGAGATTGCACAACCTCCCTAGGTAATTTATTCCAGTGTTTAACCACCCCGACAGTTAGGAACTTTTTCCTAATGTCCAACCTAAGCCTCCCTTGCTGCAGTTTAAGCCCATTGCTTCTTGCTCTATCCTCAGAGGCCAAGATGAACAAGTTGTGGCACCCTTATGACACCCTTTCAGATACCTGAAAACCACTATCATGTCCTCTCTCAATCTTCTCTTTTCCAAACTAAACAAGCCCAGTTCTTTCAATCTTCCTTCATAGGTCATATTCTCTAGACTTTTAATCGTTCTTGTTGCTCTTCTCTGAACCTTCTCCAATTCTCCACATCTTTCTTGAAATGTGATGCCCAGAACTGGACACAGTACTCCAACTGAGGCATAATCAGTGCAGAGTAGAACGGAACAATGACTTCTTGTGTCTTGCTCACAACACACCTGTTAATGTATCCTAGAATCATGTTTGCTTTTTTTGCAACAGCGTCACACTGTTGACTCATATTTAACTTGTGGTCCGCTATAACCCCTAGACCCCTTTCTGCCGTACTCCTTCCTAGACCCCTTTCTGCCGTACTCCTTCCTAGACAGTTGCTTCCCATTCTGTATGTGTGAAACTGATTGTTCCTTCCTAAGTGTGGAGCACTTTACATCTGTCCTTATTAAACTTCATCCTGTTTACCTCAGACCATTTCTCCAATTTGTCCAGATCATTTTGAATTATGACCCTATCCTCCACAGCAATTGCAAATCCCTCGAAGGTTGGTATCATCTGCAAATATGGTATCCTTACATACAAAACTCAGTGTGTGTTTCATCGTAACTCCCTATGGAGAATATTAGGAGTAAACAGTGAGGAAAGAAAAATGAACTATGAGGTCAGAAAAATGGCTACAGCATGGTCTCTATTGCAAAAAATGTGTAAGAGAAGACCTCAATGCCTAGGACATGTGTTATGAATGGGTCCTAACTGACTGTCATATAATCCTGGGTCTGGAAGTGACATCATGAGGTCATTGAGTCCAACCCCCTGCCCAAAGCAGGACCAATCCCAACTAAATCATCCCAGCCAGGGATTTGTCAAGCTGAGACTTAGAAACCTTTAGGGATGGAGATTCCACCCCCTCCCTAGGGAGCCCATTCCAGTGCTTCACCAATAGTGAAATAGTTTTCCCTAATATCCAACCTAGACCTCCCCCACTGTAACTTGAGACCATTGCTCCTTGTTCTGCCATCTGTTACTACTGAGAACAGCCTCTCTCCATCCTCTTTGGAACCTCCCTTCAGGAAGTTGAAGGCTGCTATGAAATCCCCCCTCACTCTTCTCTTCTGCAGACTAAATAAGCCCCAAACCCTTAAACCTCTCCTCATGTGCTCCAGCTCCCTAATCATTGTGGTTGCCCTCCTCTGGACCCTCTCCAGTGCGTCCACATCCTTTCTGTAGTGGGGGGCCCAGAATTGGATGCAGTACTCCAGATGTGGCCTCACCAGTTCCGATTAAAGGGGAATCATCACTTCTCTAGATCTGCTGGCAATGCTCCTCCTAATACTCCCTAATATTCCATTCACCTTCTTGGCTACAAGAAAAGAGAAGATTGTGGGGGGACATGATAGCATGGTGCCAGACAAGTCAGAGTTACTCAGACAGGGGTTGCTGGAACATCTCACAGCTGGCTTGGTCTTGAAGTGCTTAGATATTACACTGCTTTCACTTAGGCTTGGGCTATTTGCAGGGTGATGGAGAAAGCTGCAGGTGCATGATTGATCTTACCAATCGACAGTCTGTTCAGCAGTGATCTGTACCTCTCATGATTCGTGTTATACAGATGTCGGCATAGTCTGAAGCTCTGACTATAACATGGCCAAGGACGTGTCAGTGTTTGAAAACCACCTGAGGCATCCTCAGTCCAGTTTGTTACTCTGCCTGGTGCTGGTGTTTGTGAGGAGCTGGCCATGCTTCACACTGTTATGGAGGAGAATTACACTGGGGTAGACCTTTCCCACCCGTTCTTTGCCCATTGTGCCACTGCAGAATGGGGAGCCCTGTCCAACTCTGGCATTGAAATCTCCAGGAGGATGTTTGCCTGCCCTAGGTATGGCTCCAGTGTTTATAAAACTGCTCCTTGTTGCCTTCATCATCCTCAAGTCTTGGGGCGTGTGCACTGATCACTGCAGCATTGTCATGATCAGAAGGAGTGCTGAATAGCACCCGGTGACTAAGGGGTTAATTCAGGTACCTAGCAAAGATGTTGGCTGGAGGGAGGGGTTGGGCAATCAGCCAATAACAATAGAGGTAGGAATTTCAGACTTGAAAAGAGGGGTTTTTCTTTTCTTATTTTTTCTGAGGTCAGAGCAGTTTCTCCCAGGTCTTGAGGGAGATGGGAGGCACTTTCTGTCTCCAAGAACCGACTTCTTGAAAAGTTTAAGTGGTAGGGCTGTCAAGCAATTAAAAAAAAAATCACAATTAATTGCGCGATTAATCACGATTAATTTTTTTTAAAACAATAATAAGACTCCAGCTGACTCCAGGCTCTGTGCAATGTTGCCCCTTTGAAACACTGCCATGGCATTTCAAAGGGGGCAGCGGGGCACAGCTGATCCCAGGCTCCATTCATGCTGCCCCTTTGAAATGCTGTGGCAGCATTTCAAAGGGTCAGCACTGCACGGAGCCTGGGGTCAGCTGAGGACTTCAGCTGACCCCAACTTCGCTTTGTGCTGCCCCTTTGAAACTCCATGGCAGTGTTTCAAAGGGCAGCACTGCATGGAAATGCCTGTGATTAATCCACATTAAAAAAATTAATATGTCAATTCTGCCCTGCATTAATCACAGGTGTTAATCTGCATTAATTGACAGCCCTAGTAATTAGGGAAAAGTCTTATATAGTCTGTCAGGGTTTATTGTTTTCCTTGTTTGGGGGTGTGGAACCATGAACTGGCTAATTGTTTTTCTCTTCTGTATCTAAGGATTACAGCCCACGGACTTTCCCTGAGTATATGTATCAAATTGTGGCTATTTTCCACCTAGCCAATTTACTATACTTGCAACAGTAGTTTTGTTTTGATAATAAAAGTTCTGACACAACAATCGGCCAATACTGGTTAATTAAAAGAAAAAGAAAACTCTAAGTGCCTAGTTACAAGGGCAGAGTCCATGGTTGTCTGTGAAATCCCTCTGTTTTTCCCAACTCCAAGCAAAACGGAGATTGGGGCAGGGGGAGAGCTTTACCTTAGGGAGGGGATTCCCAAATGATCCCTTCCCTGCTTTTCTTGGAATCACTTCAGTGGTGGCAGTTGTTACCCCAATTTTTATGCAACAGCAATGAAGAACCAGTCCTGTTTTTTTTTCTTTTTGAATCTCAGGAGACTGAAATTGAATAAGTTTGTCTCTGGGAATCAGAGACAGGTTTGGCAGAGGTTATTCTGCTAGCCGGCCCCCCAACTCTGCATGCATACTCCTAGGTTGGTGGATTGAGCCGTGATGGGCATAATGGTTGTTCCAGAGCTGGAGCTGAGGAGTCGTGAGATACTCATTGATCCCCACGGGGAGCTCCAGCAGCAGACTGGCGAGCCTATGTTTGATGGCAAATCCAATCCCATGGAATTGTAGGAAAGCAAAGCCATCTGAGAAGAGACAGAAGGTGTCAACACCCATATCCTCTTTTCATTGGCCCTCATCAGCTAAGTGATTCCCACTGAGAGCTGCAGTGTCAGAACTGTGTCTTGCCAGGTCTCTAGCAATTAGAATAATAGAATCATAGAATCCTAGGGCTAGAAGAGACCGCTGGAGTCATTGAGCCCAATCCCTGCCCAAAGCAGGACCAATCCCAACTCAATCATCCCAGCCAGGGCTTTCTCAAGCCAGGACTTAAAAACATCTTGGGCTGGAGATTCCACCCCTCCCTAGGGAACCCGTTCCATAACCCATTCTGGCTGTTCTCCATTCTGGGCATTCGCTGTGCTGAGAGTCCGTAAGGGTGTGGGCATTCCAGGTGGCAAAATTCAGTGTCTCAGTCGTGATGTGGGATGGTTGGGACACTATCAACCTAACATTTTGTGAAGGTGCAAACAGCTCTTTGTGTAGATTCCTGTGTTAGGAAGAGTGCTATCTATTGACTTTGATTCTTATCTGCTTCGTTTTAACTACCTGATCTTCAGGTGCTCACTGATTCCCAGTTCTGCCTTCCTGTTTTTCCCTTTGATATTTGCATATCCTCTGCTCCCTGCCCCCTCTCCTTTTTTTCCTTCCCTCCTCTCCTATTTATTTTGGGTCTGCACATCCTAAACTCAAAAGTCCGGTCATCTAAAGAAGTGGGCTATGCCCACGAAAGCTCATGATAGCATCTACATGTTTTGTTAGTCTATAAAGCGCTACCAGACCATTTGTTGTTTTCAAAGTTATATCTTGTTTAGGCCATGGAGTTGAGTGATACTATTGGCTGCGACCATCCAGCTGGAAGAGTATGAGAGCGCCTTTACTCAGATCACCATTTCTAGCCCCCTCCATGTTTTGGGTGAGCCAAGGAGATAGATCTCTTCCAACCCTCTGATTCTATGATTCTCAGGAGGTTAATGAGTCCAGCCCTCTGCCCAAAGCAGAACCAATCCCAACTCAATCATCCCAGCCAGGGCTTTGTCAAGCTGGGACTTAAACACCTCTAGGGATGGAGATTCCACCACTTCCCTAGGTAACCCGTTCCAGTACTTCACCACCCTTCTAGTGAAATAGTTTTCCTTCTATCCAATCTAGACCTCCCCCACTGCCATTTGAGACCACTGCTCCTTGTTCTGCCATCCATCATACTGAGAACAGCCTCGTTCCATCTTCTCTGGAACCTCCCTTCAAGAAGTTGAAGGCTGCTATCAAATCCCGCCTCACTCTTCTCTTCTGCAGACTAAATAAACCCAAATCCCTCAGCCTCTCCTATTAGGTCATGTGCTACAGCCCCTAATAATTTTTGTT